TTTTTTTAATTAGTTCAAAACATGTTCTCCAATGTTTCAGTTTTTCAGGGTCCAAATTGATAGGGGCCGATTTATTATTATTATTATTATTATTATTATTATTATTATTATTATTATTATTATTATTCCAAAACATGCATGCAGAAAAAGACAAGATTTATATAGCCCGCTATAAATTTCCTAATAAAGTCTAAATTTTAAACCGTGACAAGTCTAATTTGGCAGGCTGCCAGATTTTGGCCACGAGGAATTTATAAAAATTAAATGCAGAAATGTCAACGAGAATAATAGCTACATATATTATTAATGCAATTTAGCTCTGTTAATTAAAAAAGACCATATATAGATATGTATTATATATGTAATATATTATAGACATGAATTAATTATTATTAATTGCAAAATCTACGATTATGGAACTATTCTGTCGGGTTTGTAACCGTTAGATCATTATGTAATCGTCGGAGATAATTAATCTAACGGTAACAAATTATGACTCAGAATGGTTGGTTCCTTAACGGGGCCGTAGCATCTCTCATATATATATATATATATTAGGTTGTTTAATGTGACAGTTTATTCTGCCCAAGACAACTATATATCTGAATCTGATCACTGGTCAAATTTATAGCAGTCAGATCACATGTAAACAATAATATTGGAACCAGCTAATGTCGGCCCCATAAACATTTACTTAACTTCAAACTAATTTATTTAACAACAATTTTGACTTCATGAACATAAATAAACAAACGAAAAAAAAAATATTTATAATTATAATTATGGACAAGAAAAATGTTTAAAAACATAAAACTAAAGTAGTAATATTATGCAGTGTAATAAGATTCTGATTCTTGGGCTAGCTATTTTAAGTATGTGCTAAAAAAATATTTATAAAAAAAAAGTTAAAGGACAACAAAATTTACCCAACACATTCAACTTTTAGCATCTATTTACTAACATATTCACAATATAACTTCTAAATAATTGTATGAAATTTAATCTATATATAGATATGTAAAATATACAAAGATATTACTAGAAAAATTTATAATATGAGTTTGATAATTTTACCATTAATCCAATTCATCGGGGGTTGAAAATGATAGCCCGTTCGACCGACTTGCTTCACGTCGATATGAGGCTTCGATTGCAAGTGCATGAAAACATTGTGAGAAGCTTGGACTCCATTTTTGGATACGGAGCATAAATAAAAGATAAAAAGAGAAATAAAAACAGCCGAAAACTCCATTTTCAGCTGTGATAAACAAAAATACAGCTAAGAGAAAGCTAATGAAGGAAGAAGAGAGTTTGTTATGTGGAGAATTGAAGGATGAAAGGGAGTGATGAGGGTTATTTATAGGCAGAGAAAATGATTGGGGAGGGTTAAAATTGTAATTATGTGCCAATTTACATGAAAAGTCAATAGATTTGAAAAAGTTAAATGATACTGAAAAAAAAAAGAAAAAAAAAAAAATTGTACCAAAAATTAAAAGGGAGTCTTCTTTAAAAATCTTTAACTCTCTTTCCAAGTTCCAAGTTCCAAGTCAGTCTCTCCCTATATTTTTTTTCCTTTTAACTACCTACCCCTAATCATCTTCGATTTAAATCTCTCCTAATCAAAAAAATGACAAAGAAATTTATATGTAACATCATCCCACTATCTACATTATTAAATTATTTTTACTACCCACTATCTACATTATTAAATTATTTTTGCTACCTAAAATACATCTTTCTCACTCTTCTTCCTCATTACTTCTTCTTTCCCGCTTTTTTCTTCTTCAGCAGCGCCGACGTGTAATTTTTTTTTTCGCAGCTTCCTCTCGGCGTCGAATACAAACCGGACCCTGGGGCTTTTTTCGAAGGCAACAAATCTGACGATATTATGGATTTTTCCGGCCGAAAATCCCTATTTCTCTGCCAAAAATTGGTATCTCTGTCCGAAAATTATTATTTTTCCGGCAAGATTGTGACTTTTTCCGGCGAAAACTTGAAGTAGTAAGTAATGTATGTATTACATGAGAATTTTGGAGTTCAAAAATCATCTTTAATTCATATATTTTTGTTTGATTTGTGAAGGGTTGAATGTTGAATATTGTTGTTTATATTTACCCTAAAATAAATAAAGTGATCATAATCATTTTTTTCATGTATACTAAATTTATGCTATTGTTAGGTTATATTAGGTGTTATTGACCATAAAACAAAAAA